TAAAAACATTCGAGTTTAGCCGTCTTAAGAGACGTGCGGCTAAACCCGAATGTTTCCAGTTCTAGGTCCAGTGTTAATTCTAATGCTAGTTGTAGTTCTAGTTTTAATTATTATTCAGTATTAGATTATTGTATATTTGTCATTAAATTAAAACTGGAACTAACACTAGACCTTGAACTAGAAACATTCAGGTTTACCCGTCTTAAAAGATGCAACTTTTTGCTATAACAAACACTCCCTTTCCCGTATTAATCCGTAACATCAAGATTTTACTGTATTTAAAGCAACATTTAATGCTTAAAGTAGATAAGCTTAGGTACTTAGGGCTTTTATGTCGTAAATTTACAAAGCACCTTAAACTTGACTTCCCATTGGAATGTTTGTCGTAAAACCCCCACATAAACTTAACTATTCTTAGATTAGAAGCATTGAATTCTAAACAACTGAATCTTTTCAAAAAAAAGATTTCGAAATAGTACAATTTCAATTATCGTTTTTGAATTATAACGTTATATCATGCACGTATTTTAGGTAATTATGGATAATAGAGAAATTGTACCACAAAAAAATTTACTTACTTCTCTTTGTCACGCGATAAGTACGATTGTAGCTTGTTATTAGGTTTTTTAGTTAAATACTTCGCGATTATAAACGCTCTTGAATTACAGTTTGGTGTGACCTACTTAGTGTTTTAATTAAAATCAAATTTGAGTTGAAAAATTTCTAAGTCGAGTCATAAATTATATCTGCTTGAGAACACAATAATTCCTTTCACAATTTATCACAAACTCACATAGTGAATAAGCCAGCATTCCCTGAATTTATATATACCCTCCGTATTTCCAAGAATCGATCTAAAAACCATCAAGTCATACAAGTTTTATGCTTTTATTGTTGAGGTCTAAAATTTGAGAACGCTTCACTTAAACAAATTAAACGACTCCGATCGATATGTGGACATAAAATAATGTAGTTTTATTTCAAATTTAATTTAAAACGGTGGTTTATTTAGTTTGTATTTGAGAACGAATTTATAGGTAACCCACACTTTTCAGCTAAGTGATTAAACAACTTTTTTTATACTATTATCAAACAGTGTAGGGTTTTTTTTTAGAAATCCTTTCTACTCGGCTCGTTAATGTATATACATTTTCTTTGTAATCTTGATGTACTATTTTTTAAGTTATGGTGGTAGGGCGATTGTTTCCACGACACATTTGCGGGAAATAGTCTATTTTGAACATTTATGTATGAATTCATTAAACCCGGAAATATTTCCATAAAAAAATATTATTATAATGACTCAAATGGAAATGAAGTTTACTAGAAAAATGTATTAAAGTAAAGTGGAATGAACTGCATGAAACTGTCAAGTATTATAATAATTAAATTAAGGATGAATTCTGAGCTATTTCTCTATTACTCCCTTGAATACTCATCGTAGTTATTATAAAACATTTGAGTTTCTTGAAATCTGTTTTGCTCAAACCATGTTTTTTTTTTATGTCTCTCTGTTTGATGCCATTTGTAGCCAATTTCTCCCCCCAATCTTTTTGATGTCATCCAGCGATCTTTCTTGTGGTCTCCCCACACTCTGATTTGTTACCTTATTAGGCCAGTAATTCTAGCCACTACGTTTGTGATCTTACTGCATCTTTGAATCTTCTCATTGTGCGCTCTGTCCCTGTGATAAATCCTCAGCATTACTCTTTCTATGACTCTTTGGTTTATCCTTAGCCTATTAGTACTTATTCAAACAGTTTCAGTACAGGATTCATTTCAGTACAGGATTCAAACAGTTTCCGTTTCAGGTTAATAGCTAAGAATAACAATAGGAGTAATAGGAGGAATAAAATAAGGATAACCATATCAATCCTATTCTTCTTGTTATTTCGGTGGTCTGGTTTTCTTTGCCCAGCTTGATATTGTGATCAACTTCTATAATATGATTTTCGGTTGAAAACTGAGCAGCGTCCAGACTCAAGATCTTTACCCTTGAATGGTTCATTCTTAGACCCATTTCTACTGATACTTTATGGAGCAGCATATTCTTCAACTCCTCTGAGTCGCTGCTTATCAGTACGATTTCGTCCGCGAATCTCAGGTGATTTAGGTAGGTGTCATCTATATTGAGTGATGAGCGTCACTCTGTCATTTCCGAGTGTCTTTCTGTCTCTCATGTTTCTTAAAACAGCTAGCAGCTCATTACTATTAATCTGTGGTATTTCCTATAAGTTCATATTTAAGATGTTCCATCTTTTATCGTTTATTTATCGTAGTTTGTTCGTTTACTAGCTTGTGGTCGCTACCAGTATTAAATCGGTTGAAAATCAAAACAGCAAACAAATTAATAAGTTTAATGGTTAGTAAGGCATTGTGGAGATGCTTCCAGTTTCTTACACCAAGCGTCCTAACGTTCTCCATCAGATCATCCTTCAATAGATTCTACAGTTTTCATTACTCTCCTGTCGCCCTGCATCACCCAGCTATACTGTTCTCTGCCATATTTTATGTGCCGTAATATTTCTGCACCATCCATAAGCTTTCTTATATTGAGGTTGTCATCTTTTACTTATTGCCACATCAGCTAACTTTTTAAATTATTCCGTAGACCGTTCTGGGTGCAGGAACTCCTCCATCAGTATCAAATTCTCACAGCTACTAAGGGAAACTCTCTTTTACTTAGGTTCATATATATTGCTTTCAATAATTATGAACTTGTGGATCTACAGATACCCAGAAGGAGATAATCGTGGTTGAATTTTAATAAATTCATTGTTTAAACTTCGGCACTAGGCTATACGCATCGGCTTTCCGCAGCTTCAAGGCGGCTTTGTGGTTTGCGTTCTTATCCTTATGAGATGACACAAGTGATGAAGTATGCTTTACAGTGAGCAAAGATTTGGTACCTCTTGTTTTTACTTACGTGCTGCATTTGCATACTTATGATTCCTTGTCAAGGAGCATCTATCAACAACTGAAGTGTGAAATAAAACCTTCTTACCACCATCCTCACAATGGTTTCAATTATTTATTTGCAGTTTTTCGTATACCAAGTTGAGATGCTGGAAGTGTTCCTACCAATTATCAAGTATCCTCATTCATCATCAAGTTTGGACAAGTTTTGGCGTTTTTCAAACCTACCTAATCTATCAATACCACCAAATTTTAAGATTTCTTCGCCATGGGGATCTGCAAGTAACTCGATTTTAAGTCCAAAGGCTACAGTATTACTACACAATATTACTCTTTCTGACTTTATTGACGATTGGGCTTCTACAGAAACATTTGTATCAAGTGATTCATTTTGAAATATCGATTTTGAAGCAGAATATGCTGTATACACAACCCTCCGTTTAATTAGCGATTTACTTCCCTTTGGAGACTTTGCTTTTCTTTGGCTACCTTCTTCCCCATCATTACATTCAGAAAAATTGGGAATCTTTTAGATAATTTCAATTGCAACTTCCGCAAACGAATTTTTTTCACTTATTGACGATTTAGGAAAATGTCCAAAAGATTCTTCCTGAATTGAAGCCGTCTGTTTAGTTATTGGGGTCGAAATTGACAAGGTCGATTGTTGACCAGAAACATTCTTTCCATCCTTCGTAATCTTCACTTCATTATTAACATCATTTTTTCCAGGTTGATCCGTGTTTGCCACCACTGTTGTATGTTGTTCGAATTTATCAATTGGTTTTGCAACAATCGAGCTTTGCTCAAAAACATTTTTTGGCTTAATTTCTGCTTTCGTTACATCCCTTTCTTTCAAATAATTCAAAAGAATACTTTCGGTGATGGCATTTTCAGCAGAATAAGATTTATTTTTCTGTTTCTCTTCCCAATTATGACTTTTAATTTTCTTACTCCTTCTATGTTTTTTCTCTGATTTTTCCGTTATTACCTTTGAACTACTCGACGCAGTCGTTGAGCCTTCAGATTTATCATCAGATTTCTTCCTACTAGATGGTTTACTATCACAAATAACCGAATAAAACGAGTCATGAGATGATTCCCCGCGCGATTTAGACACATCCCCTTCTAATTGATTATTAGTACAAAATCTCGGAATTGAAATAGGAGTACTCGCCTTATCATCCTCTTCAAAGCAACTTTTCGCGCAAATCTCACCCAATTCCTTCCTCACCTGAGGATATAACCTTAAAATTTGCCAAAATCTTAAATCATCAACAAAATACACTTCATGCCCATCGGGGTCAGGTAATATAAGAAATTGCAATCCATCGTGTTCTTGTTTAGTTAAAGGAATCACCACCCTTCCTTGGAATTCTTGCAAAACCCGACTTTGATTCCTTGTCAAGGAGCATCTGAAGTGTGAAATAAAACTTTTTTAACACCATCTTCACAATGGATTAAATTATTTATTTGCAATTTTTCGTATACCAAGTTGAGATGCTGGAAGTGTTCCTACCAATTATCAAGTATCCTCTTTCATCATCAAGTTTTGGACAAGTTTTGGCNGCGATTAATAATGTACATCAACGGTTTAGCCAACGCAAATCGTACATCACGTACCAGAAAACTAGGTATTTGGTCTTCACCCGCTGTGAGTTTGGAGCTAAAACCCCTCATTACAGCAATTATCTTCTCCTCGGTTACCTGATGGATATTAAACATTGGCAACGTGGGGATCTGCAAGTAACTCGATTTTAAGTCCAAAGGCTACAGCACTGGTCAGATCTCGCTTTATTGCGCACAATTCCTTTTTTTCACAACATTTTCTCTGCCTCTATTTTCAATCTTTTTACTGAAGCACATTTTATTCACTAAAACCACAGTTCTAGTAAAAAAATCAAAAACGGTGATGTCATATTTGTTTGGCAGCGCAACGATTAACTTGTAGATGAAAATCGTGAATAAGCTTAAATCCTGATATTTTCAAGTTTATGTACTTGGCCATAATTATGTACTTGGTCTTCGTACTTATATCTGTCAGAAAAATTTGTATTTCCTTACAATGATTTTTTTTTTTGTTTTAGGTGTGTCACACACGTTACATTTAGAAGACGGAAGCGGAGATTTTATAATCGTAGACCAGGTTTGTATCAAACTCATATATTACCCAGTAAACCCTCGATATTATTGAAATATAACCTGTAACGTTGTTCAAGCAACTTTAACACGTCGTTATTCTTTACGATATCGCTTACAAAACCTAACAGCATCGTTAAAAATATAAAGCTACAAACGAAATAGGTACTTCTGGCTATCATATAAGTAGTATAACATAACTTCGTCTTAAAACGGATTATTACTATTAAAAGAAGATATCAAAACTTTTAAACCGAACAATTTTTTTATTACCAAAGACATACAATTTTTATCCACAAAAACATCAAGTACGCGAAAATGAAAAAAATTTCAATCAAATTTAAATCCTATATCCATAATCTCTATAAACATTTCTTGTATCAATCGGCGATAAATTTCGCATCGCGGCAAATTGAGAATACGGCGAATACCTCTTAAATTTCGTTTGTTGATTTTGCAATATCGATAAGCGTTTTTTAAATTCCGCAGCTGCCTGATTTTGAGATAATTGAGGACCGTAACAATTTTGTTCAGGGTGAACGTACTTTATATTTCTATTTTTCGTCATTCTTCCTAATTTTTGTTCCGCGTTCAATTTCAAACCGGAAGTTTCTTTTTCTGGGTAATCCGAAAAATTAACAAATTTAATTTCTTCTTCGGAGTATTCCGAAGATACCGTTTTAAGATTATACGGTAAGTTATCATCGTTATCATAATACTTGGATGTATCGGGTTTAATTTGTTTAGGTGGTGATTTATTCGCGAAATAATTAATGTGGCGTGCGATTTGAGTGGTATTTTTATAACGGGGAAGCATCGCCCTAAACGATTTTAACTTTGCTGTTACGTAATCATCACCGTTTTCTTCTACACTACTTAAACTGGAAATATTTTTTTTAGATCTATTTAATGCTAGTGTTGATTCTCTTACTGCTTCTCTTTTTATGTTTCCTACGGCGTGGGCAGATTGTTTTAGAATCTCAAGGGTTTTTTGATTCAAAGCTTGAATCCATTTATCACAATTACTTAATTGACTTGATTTTCCACTGCTGGTTTCGGTTAATTTCGTTGCATTTGATTCGATTTTTTTTATTGGTAACTTAACAGGAATCTCAATCTCGGATTTAATTATTTCTGGATTTGAAACTGGAATTGGTTTTTGTGAAACCACATTTTCAGGAAAAACATTTTCTGGATACTCATTTTCTGAACACTCATTTCCTGGATAAACATTTTCTGAACATTCAGTTTCTTCGTTACTAACATTAACACATTTCTCGTTCTTTGTGGACAAATTCGATGTGCTTTGAGTACGTTCTAAAAACTCATCGTTACTACTTGAATTATTATTATCAATAAAAATCACATTTTTCTTTTCATTATAAGATCTCGAATCATTTTCTTTAACATCTTCATAAATTTCATCCAACTTGTCTTGTAAATAAGGAGATATTTTATTTTTTTTTCCATTATCCGCTGTGTCATAATCAGTCATCACCCCCAAACTGATTCTTGACAATTCTATTTTAGGACATTTAATTTCCAATTCAGTTTGATTCCGAGGAATGATAAATGTTCGCTTTGGGTAAGAAGTTCCCACATTCGAATAAGTTCTTGGTGCAGTTTGAGTCATTTTTTGAATTTCCTCTAATGAAAGTTCTGGGCCCACCCTTAAAGGTACTCGTGATGATATCTTTGTTGGTGAAGGTTGTGGCTGTAATTTAGGTGATGGTTCTGAATATAACTTAGACGATAATTGTCGATACAAAATTGGTGATTGTTGTTGACACAACGTAGGAGGTGGTTGTTCATACAACGTATGAGATGGTTGTTGATACAACGTAGGAGAATGTTGTTGATACAACGTAGGAATTGGTTGTTGGTACAACGTAGGGGATGGTTTCTGATAAATCTTAGGAGTTGGATACAACGTAGGAGATGGTCGCTGACACAACCGAATACTTGGAATTGGTTGTCCCAACCTCCTCATTTCTTCGCGTTTCACCAAAAAATTTTGAATGCGTTCCTCAGGGCTTAACCCATTAAATCTTGGCCGTGGAGTTGGGCGTTTATTACACATCGATTCTTTAATAGCCCTCTCAACTTGTTGGTAATAAACACTACAATTCGGTGATAAAGTTGTCTTCTCATACTTCCCAGCATGATGTTCTTTTAATTTCCGAGATTCTTTCGGTTTTTGTTTTGGCGATTTTCTATCTTCTTTCTTCATATTATTTTTAATTTCGGGTACTTTTTTCTCTAAAATTTTCAGTCTCGCTTCAAGATCTTCAATTGGATTTATATCATTATCAAATTTTAAATTAATATTTTCTGATGATTTCTTTAACATTTCGTGAATATTCGCTGTTGATATTATATTGGCAGCGATTATGTTGGAGATATTTTGAAAAACACCCATTGTGTTGTAAGAGGTAACCCGAGAGATCGCTTCTTGAATTATTTTCTTTTCCATCTTTTCTTTTGTGAGTTTATCACAATTATTTCCTTGGTCTTTTTCTTCATTCAACTCATTTAAAAAATCGAGAATATTTCGTTCTGGATTTTTCATAATATCATTAACACAATCGTTAATAGATGATTTTTCATTCAAAATCGTTTCATTATTATTTACATTCTCACCTTCATCCAAAGCTTCTTGAATCTCTTTATCAACGCGAACTGCCCCATCATCTTGCGTACCCTCATTAATAACCGTTTTATTAATTTTTTCAATAATTTCTGTTTTAGCTACATTAATTTCAGTTACATTTTGATTAATAACTTGAGTATTTTTATCTTCATTATTATTTTTATTCTGAAAATATTTATGAAGCATTGGAATCTTCGTCGGAATTTTAACTTGATTACTAGGCGAAGAATAAATGCTGCTTTTCCACGATGGCCTCTCCGAAATCGACTCAGAAATTTTCCTTAACTGTTTGGTTAATTGCCTCGTTTTTGATGTATGCATCGATGACGAAGACGATGATAAATCCCCCCTTTTCCTCGTTTTCGTCATACTGCGAGCTTTTGAAACGTGAACTTTATGTTTATTAGCTTTCGGGGATCCATTATTTTTTTTTGAATTTGTTGCGTGTTCCCGCATTATTTGTACGTGTTTCTTTTGCGATTTACTCAATCCTTTTGGTACTGATTTGGGTCGTTCCTTTTTGTTTCGTTCGTTTGTTATAATTACTCCGTCATTGGTGGGAATGTCTTCTAATTTTTTAACCGCATTTTGCAATAATTCCGTGATTGTTTTGTATGTTACGTCATCACTGCAGTTTTCGGAAAGTATCGTTTTTGAAGTATTCGAAGTAATGGGATTAATTGTTTCAACAGTAACATAACCCACTCTTGAGGTTGGATTAATATAAATATTTTCTTCTGGTGGTTTTGTTGCTTGGATAAGTCGTTTTCTTGTTTTCTCCCTCTCAGCCTCTCGTTGTTTCAGCCGCTCATTTTCAATTTCTAACATCTTTTTTTGCCTCTCCTTCTCCATGGTTTCTTTTTTTCGTTCTAATTCTTGTTGCATTCGTTTTCTTTCCCTTCTCAACAATTCTTTTTCTCTTTCAATATCGCGCTGCTTTTCTTGATCGATTTTTTGCCTCTCCTCGAGTAATTTTTGCTTCTCCATCTCAATTTTTTTCATTTCTTTTTCTACCGCTTTCAATCTTTCTTGCTCAAATTTAATTTTCTCCTTTTCCAACTCCCTCCTTTGTTGTTCGATTTTTTTCTGTTGCAGTTCTAACTCTTTTTTCTTTTCAACATCCTTTTTACGTTCTATTTCTAATAATCTTGCCATTTCAACTGTTAACATTTCCTCCTTCTTCAGTTTTTCTTTGGTGTCATTAACATCCGTTTTATCTATAACAGACTTACTTGTGCAACAAGAAGAAGAAATTGGTTCTGCGATAGTGGTGCAGATTTCTTTTGTTTTCTTTTCATTCTTGTTCATTTTATTTCTATCTGCATAACCTTTTGATGGCGAATTTTTGCTTGATTTTGGTGACAAATTCCGTTTTTTGCAAGAACCATTTTCCAAGATATTCGACGATTCGGCTTCTATAGAAACATTTGTATCAAGTGATTCATTTTGAAATATCGATTTTGAAGCAGAATGTGCTGTATACACAACCCTCGGTTTTATTAGCGATTTACTTCCCTTTGGAGACTTTGCTTTTCTTTGGCTACCTTCTTCCCCATCATTAAATTCAGAAAAATTGGTAATCTTTTGGATAATTTCATTTACAACTTCCGCAGGTGAATTTTTTTCGCTTATTGGTGATTTGGGAAAATGTCCAAAAGATTCTTCTTGAATTGAAGCCGTCTGTTTAGATATTGGGGTCAAAATTGACGAGGTCGATTGTTGACCAGAAACATTCTTTTCATCCTTCGTAATCTTCACTTCATCAGTAACATCATTTTTTCCAGGTTGATCCGTTTTTACCACCACCGTTATATGTTGTTCGAATTTATCAATTGGTTTTGCAACAATCGAGTTTTGCTCAAAAACATTTTTTGGCTTAATTTCTGCTTTCGTTACATCCCTTCCTTTCAAATAATTCAAAAGAATACTTTCAGTGATGGCATTTTCAGCAGAATAAGATTTATTTTTCTGTTTCTCTTCCCAATCATGATTTTTAATTTTCTTATTCCTTCTATGTCTTTTCTCCGATTTTTCCGGCATTACCTTTGAAGTATTCGACGCAGTCGTTGAACTTTCAGATTTATCATCAGATTTCTTCCTACAAGACGGCTTACTATCACAAATAACCGAATAAAACGAGTCATGAGATGATCCCTCGCGCGATTTAGACTCATCCCTTTCTAATTGGTTATTAGTACAAAATCCCGGAATTGAAATAGGAGTACTCGCCTTAACATCCTCTTCAAAGCAACTTTTCGCGCAAATCTCACCCAATTCCTTCCTCACCTCAGGATCTAACCTTGAAATTTGCCTAAATCTTAAATCATCAACAAAACACACTTCATGCCCATCGGGGTCAGCTAATATAAGAAATTGCAACCCATCGTGTTCTTGTTTAGTCAAAGGAATCACCACCCTTCCTTGAAATTCTTGCGAAACCCGACTTTGAATTAAATACAATTGTTCGAGTGGGCATGAAAAAACGATTCTATCCGCGGATTGGCTTCGATTAATACTCACATCAACTTGATGGAGCTCTATTAAGACTTCGTCGGATCGAAACGAAATTTGCGCACGTTTCTCTACTTTGCAATGTTGGAATAAAGTCAATCCAAGCATACTGTGCCAAAAATGCAACGAACACGTTAAGTTTGTGCACGCGAGAGAAATTTTTACTATGGGGTCGCTTTTACGCGGCAACGGACTATCAATTACGTAAACTTTTAAACCATCCGGTGCTTCCAGCATATTATAAGAATGAATGGGCCAATTCAATTTTCTAGCTTGTTCCAACGCTTGAGATGCAATCACCGTTATTCCGATACATTCGTTCCCTTTCATCTGCTTAACCTGATTTTTGCAATCGTAAGTTAATTGCAGACAAAAATAATTATCTTCTAATCCATAACCCACCACGGTTTTACTTTGATACGGTTGATCGCATTTGCACTCTTTCACTTTAACTTCTTCGTTTCTTAATACTTTCATTCCCATTATATCGGTATAAAAGTGTAACGACGCACTCCTATCATCGACTTTTACCACATAATGCAGGGCGCGTCCGTTGATGACCAATTCGCTGCAATTACATCGAGCTTTCGATTTAGAATCTAACCTAGTCAATGATTTGGTCAGCTGTCTAAGATATGGAGCGATGTTAAGTTTCTGCGGACCTTTCCTGCCGATATTGATGTGACCACCCATTGCTCCTCCATCTTGAGCATTCGGATCCAAAAACTTCCTTCTGAAGTAGTCTACGACCGTTGTACAAATAATTTTCATTACAGCTGCTTTTGCCGAATTGAGTTGACATGTTATAGGATTGACAACAACTGTCTATAATATGTGTCTGAATGAAACATGTCAGTGATAATGATAAAATTTTAGTTAATACATATATGTTTGTAAAGAAATAAAAATTACTTGGCAGAAACGTTTAACTACTAAAGGGATAATTCAAATATAAAAGGGTTGAAATTCTCCATATTTCTCAAATAATGATTCAAAGTCACCAGATTCTCTTGAGTATGTCGGACAATGCTGCATCCTCCTCATATTGTCCAAACAAGCTAAAATTGGGGCGGCCATAGCAAAACATTCTCTGCAAATTTTACTTATAATATATGACAATATAACCTACTTCTATAAGTTACAGCCAAAACTCTCACATTTTGGTGCACATGCCTCCCAACAGAAAATTCAACATCACGTTTTACTCGTCTACATTTTTTTTAATGATGAATAATAATAATTAATCTTATTTGGAATCGTTCTTTAAGTTGTTCCTCCAATCAAAAGCATTTTAGCTAATTTTTTCATAGAAATATCAGAAGTAAGAAGTCATTACACAGAAAAATTCATAAAGAAGTTTAACTTCTTTTGCAGTATTCTCTTTTTATTTCTGCCTTCTATTTGGCATAAAAATTTTAAAGTTTTAAAATAACATTTGCGCATTTTATGAATAAATTTTTTAAATAAATCAAAAAGATGAAGGAAGAATACTAAAATAGTAACCAGAAGAAAGCAGAAAAAAGATACGATCATGCCAAAGAAAAGCTAAAAGGAAGAATAAGTCAAAATGAAGTTTGAGTTATTGCAATATTTCTGGCATAAATTTTATAAAGAGATCAAGAAGTAGCTAATGCGAAATCATTAAAGAATATTAACAATACGATAAAACCAGTTTCAAAAAATCAACAACAATGTTCAGCATGCAGAAGAGGAGTCAGGAGGAAGTCAATTAAATAAGCAGAAAAAGTCAGATTGAAGAATGAACTCATGCAATAAAGCAGAAATAATTCTGGCTTTTTTATAGCACATATATTTTAAGTAATTAAGTGACCAAAACAGATTTACAAAGAAGCTAAGGAGACAGCACATTTTTTTGGCTTCTTTATCAACTCTTACTGAGCTAACAATTAATAAAATAAGATAAACAACTTTTAGCGTCATTTTTCAGATTATTATTGTAAAGAAATCAGTAAAAAGGCAAAACCATTCCAAAATGGAGCCAATACGATAGCAGAAAAAGTCAGAATGAAGTTGATTTATTGTATTATTTCTAGCATCTTTTTGGCATAAATATTATAATCAATTAACAACAAAGCAAATCGAAAACACAAAGAATCCAAAAAGATAGTATAAAACTTTGAATTCATTTTGCCTTTTTTGTCTGAGTTTTTTGAATATTTATTGTTCATTTGAATATTCTTTACCTTTCTATCTGGATTCAAATTCTTAAAAGAATATCAATAAGATGAGTCAAAGAAAATTGATAACGATGTTTAATATTTCAGAAAAAAGCCAGAGGAAGTGAAAATGACTTATGTTTATGTTGTTCATCAGAAAGATCTCTTTCTTAGTTTAATTTCTTAAAAAAAGAAGCCTATAGGAAGCCAATGAGATGGCAGAAAGAGTCTTAATGCATTATATCGAGATTCTTTTTGGAATAATGAGATTACATAATCAACAAAAAAAATCAAGGTGAAACACATAATTTGGAATTCATCCTGTCGTCTTTTTTGTAAATTTTTGTTCATTCAAAAGCTTCCTTATTAATATATAAATTCAAACTCTTAAAACATATCAACAAGAAGATAAGAAGGATGAAGCCAAAGAGAAGCCAGAAGGATGTCAATGATGTGGCAGCAACACCCAGATTAGAGTAGAACAATAACCCCAAGCGAAATTGCAAAAAAAAGCCAATAAGGTAGCATACAACTCCGACTCTACTTTATTTCTTTTGGTGTTCTTTTACATTCTTCGTAGCTTTACATTTTCAAGATGCCAGAAAAAGCAAAAAGATGACGAAGAGGTTCCAATTTGATTTCTTTTTGGTTTTATTCTGGCTTCCCTCTCTCTTCTTTTTGGTATGAACTAAAACGTTCCTATTTGGTTTAAAACACCAGAAAGATACCAAAGAGAAACTAAATTAAATGGCAGAAACGAAAAAATGGCTAATATAAGTTCTGACTTCTTTGTAGTATAGATAGTTGAAGTAATAATAAGAAATCAAAGTTAAATAATAAAGAAGCCGAAGAGATAGCACGAAACAACGAAGTCACTTTGATTTCTTTGTATATTTGTCGTCTCGTCTTAGTCTGATCCTTATACGACTCTCATGCATCTCCAAATTAGAACCACTCTATGTTCTAGTACAATCGCAACCTATACCGCTTCAAGCGTTCCTGTTGGTATTGAACCTTAGTGGTAACAACCTTTGTTACTTAGCCATTGATTGAAAACTGATCTGCTATTGGAGAATCAGATAAACCATTATCACTTGAACCATATGAATACAATTTTTATCAATTCTTAGGTAGGAGTTAACGGTTTTTGTCAAGTTTGGCTAAAATATCCTACTCTTTTCTGATGGTATTGTTATGTATTTTCTCATCATTAATAAAGAGAGAGTCAGACGTTCTCCTCGCCGATGTTACTGAGGTTCTATTTAAGAACCATACATCGTGCTGCACTTGGTGCAGTGAGCACAGCGTTAAAATCGTAAGCCAAAGGTCGCTGGTCTTAGATTTTCCTAAACCTTGCTGTTCTTTGGCCGGTGTTGTAATCGAATTAATTTTAGTTGTGATAACCTTATGTTTCGTTTATGGTACGGTTTTATTTTTCGAGCTCATTCCCAGTTTCCTTTTGTTTTTGAGTTTATCCCAGTTTTCCCATGATACCTGCTTTGTGCTGATTTTCTCGGCTAGTCTTTGTTGGCATAGAATTTTATGGATTCATTCGACAATACTTCAATGATAATCTTTTTTTCTTCCCGTAAGATGTCTTTTGCTGAATTTCTTGTTATTTTTAATCATAACTTTCCTGATAACAGCTTATGAACACTTCCCACATTAGCTGAGTTTATTGTTCTGACATCTAGCATTTAGGATGGCAAAATCCTCATCAAATCACAAATTTTTAATCTCTATAATTTTCGAATATGGGCTTGTATGTAGGTAGGTGTCTTTGTGGTTATTTTTTTCTCCAATGGCCCTACAGCTCACATTGAGTTTTGACCTCCTTTATCTTTTGTCTCCAACATTACCGATCAAGAACTACTCTCTTGCAGGTTCTGACGCACAGTGGTCTAAATTCGAAAAAACCAGAACAAAAATATTTTAACGCAGTTTGGGTTGAGATAATTTTTTGAAACTTGGTATGTGGCTATAGGACTATATGCTAAAGACTTTGTGAACTTTTTTATCAAATATGGCAACCAATACTTGAGGTCACATTCTATTTTTTTCATATAATTTAGGTCCTTAGAATTGGATAAATACAAAATTTTATACAACGCTATTAAATCGTGAAGGATAGCTAAATACAAAATTGTTTAAACTAAATTGGTTATATAGTTTACTTCGATGTAAGCTTTCTATGAATAAATCTTTAACTAGAGAGTGTCTCACGTAATTGGTTCGTTAGAACTTTTTCAGGTTCTACTATTCGTACAATTTTGAAATTTTGGTAGCATGGGTTGTTCATTCGGAACTTTCAATCTAAAATATTTTCAAGATGGCTGCCAATTCCGGTCTACCGGAAGTATAAAAGTTGATAAAAGTTATTGGTACCTAGCGTTTTTTGTTTTCGAGTTATTTTGGTTCTAAACTTTTTATGGTAAATTTCACTATGCTGTTTAAAAGCCCATATCTCAGCCAACGTTCATTCAAAAAAGGTCTTAATTGGTACTATTATTTTTCAGATGCTGTCAAATAGATTGTCATTTGTTGTATCGGAGTATCTTATACAGGTGGTCAAAAATTGCATTATTGTTTCTCCATTTTCAATGGCGAGAAAGTAGAAAATTTTAAATGGAACGCACCATGCTTTTTTAGCCTATCAGAAAGAGAATTTAATTCTCTATAAATTATCTACTTTGCTTAACAATGTCTGTTTCTTCTTGTTCTGTTTCAGACCATTCTTCGTCATCTTCATCTTCGTTGCATCCTGCCTTATATAGCTCTTGTTCTGATTCTTGTTCTTCGTCATATTCATCTTCTTCTTCGCGATCTTTTTCTTCTTCCTGGTCTTCTACATTGTCTATTATAAGTAATCTTTTAGTCTCCATACTCATCTTTTTATGTTTTCTAGAAATGTGCTGTTGAAAATTACTTATAAATGGATCTGAGCTGAGTAGCAGTCTTTTAAATAGATCTTCATTCGTATCCAGTCTACTACATTTCCTTGTGTGGCTCTCTCTAAATTTTCAGATTTTTTTGTTATTAGCTTCTTGCGCTTCTTCCGACAACTCTCCAATAGGTAGTAGAGGTTCTTTAATGACTGCAGATCCATGTATCAAAATTTTATGAACGCTGGTTGGCATATAGTACCAACCATAAAATGGACGTACTTTTCGGCAGTTTTGAAACAGTATTTATCAAATTCATTGCAATTAATATTGTACCCACTGTTTAATGAAATCTCTGATGATAATTTAGTAAAAGTACGTATGAACCAGTCACCTTCCAAGTTCTAATTTTTAATCTATATGAAATGTGAAGCAGACACACAAAAAACCCAATGTATGCATGGAGAACAGACAAATCAAACTTAAAACCTTCTAGCTCTACCGTTTATCAACTAACACTAGAAACTTTCGGGTTTTGCCGTGCGTCTTTTAAGAAAAGGTTTGACGTTTCGGATGCCATGTTGCAACCTTCTTCAGAAACACTTCGAACCAGTTTAGTTAGTTAAGAGTTAGTACTAGTTTTAGTTCTAATTTTAGTTCAATTAACTCCGGCCGTGAAAACCTTCGTACTTATAAAAAAAGTAGATATTTCAAGTGTTCCAGTTTTTTGCCGCACTGTATCTAACAACCACTTCCGGTTGTTAGATATGCCTGAAACTTTAAGTCTGGTATTCTATTATTGTTATGCGAGTTTACACCAAATATACGAGATTTATCTTTTAAGAAAAAGAATATAAGCATTTTATATGAAAACGGTCAAATAACACACTCAGTCACTGATCATCTTTGATCGTTAATATCTTGGAAAGGAGCAAGTTAAAGCAAGATGTGGTTATCATGTTATATAGAGCACATCTCAAAGAATAAGAATATTCTAGCGACAAAAGTTCTTCTTGCGTCTTCTGCGAGATATATATGTTAAAACATTTGGTTGTAACTTCAAGTAGGTGTTAATTAGCTTTAAAAGAAGTGCTTATTACGTATTTCTGCAAAAATATTTTAAAAATTAGAAAAGTGCCAAATGAAGACCTTTCTATACTGTTCAAGATAGCAACAACGCATTGTCTTGAAAAAGTGGAACACAATATATTTTCTTCATCTAAAGTTGTAGCATTTTATGATATTTAATACACAAGAATTGTAGTACAGTTTTATTGCGTACAGTTGGCACTAGAAAGTACATAAGACTTTATTCCTTTCACCTCTCAGTCTATTAGGACCTAAAGTACATGTAACATGTAAAAAAAAACGGAAAAAAAAATTTCGAAAATTTGATTTTCGTTCACATTTTACCGCTTGTGGACCACTGTGGACACTCAGGAGTCGTTTTGCGTTCTTCATAACTTTGTCTTCACATCATTTTCGTGACCTCTCACCTTAGATACTACTGCTTAAGAGGGTCGTTCCTGCTTCCACGTTGTTTCTCATTTACCTTCGTTGGATCAAACATTTTTCTCAGTATTTTTCTGTCAAATACTTATTCTTTACACTCTCTGTCATAATCCATGAGTCGCATCCATAGCACAGTGTAGGTCTAATTTCGATCAATTCCCCGTTATCAGTGATATGGTATTAAGTGAGGTAGTATATTTTCCTCTTTCCAAATTCTTTTCCGTTTTCTTGCGGATGTCGTTAAATAATCCGTCCTGTTCAGAGGCTTCTCATCGTTTTTCTTAGCAATTAGATTTTCTTTTACAGTGGGTGAACTGCAGTAACTATCTTTGAGATCGGGCAGTTACAGAGCTACTCGATTCACCCACCACTTACTCCAGACGGAGCTTTCATCTTGAATCCTAAGAACTAAACCCACACGACAAGAGAAATAGAGCTTTAGTACTGTCACGGAATTGATTTTTACCGACTCCAATGTATTATACTTCCGCAACTCTCAATTTGCTTCGTTATATTGGTAAGATTTCTGCCGTTTCCTTCTGTCTCCTTTGTACTGTTAACTTATCAATGTAAAGTTCATGCTAGATCAAACTCGATTGCTTTTCCTCAAACGATTCTGCTTTATCTTTGAACTTGTCGAATGTATTTGCACCATAAAGGAGTATCTTGTATCATATCTATTTGCAATCTCTTTGAATTAAATTTGATTAAAATTAAATCATTAATATGTACGATATTTCGTTTGTTTCAGAGATTCGATTGGCCTCTTGGGAGGCAAGTGGCCGACACGGAAATCCTGATGATAGAACTTTACGTTCGCAACAGACTATTTTCAGACAAACTGCTCGGAACATACGGTTTAATTCTACAAAGTGCCGTTAGAGATGGAAGGCTGTCCGTTAGCGATAACTTAGTGGACGTTAACAACAAACCTTTGCCGGTAAGCAATGTCGTATCGGGCGTATAATGCAATTTCGATGCGCGCCGGTAGATCCCCTCTAAGGTTTGGCTACAACGTGTCCGACAATGTTTGTTTATTGACAATTAGACCGCGCGTATATCCTTTATAGACGAATAAATTTAACTTTATGTGCGTCCCTAGAATCAAGTAAGGTAGTTGCTATTGTTCTTTAAACAATACTACAACAACTCGTATTAAAAGGAACTGTATAAATCTTCTTTTATGATGCTGTTTCATATAGGGATAAATCAATCTTGAGGCAGGAGTTAATTGTTACATCGCGTGCACGAGACGCCTCGCACAATAACTCGGAGAATAAATAATAGTGTACTTGTGGTACTGTTAAATAGGAAATTTGCATAGGATTTTCAACGTGGATATTTATTAAAATATGCCGGCCGCAATTATAGTTTCAGTTCGACCTCGGGGCAAAAATTAACTTTTTATTACCAATACAGAGTTATTTGAATATGAATAAAGTAAATAACTGTGTTATAAATTATTAATATTACTAAATCCCTCTTTAGATGAGAGATCCAAATCAGAGTTTACAATTTTGCTACAAATATGTGATCATGAATATTGAAAAGGGATTATTGTCTAAACGCTCGATGGTTGTTAATTAACGTTGGAACAATGAATTTACGAGTATTATCCTACCGCTTTGATTAATAACTCGATTGTTTCTTAATTTTTTAAGGTTCGTGTTGATTTCGACGTATTATACTCTCACCCGGACGAATCGATGTTATCCTTCGCCGGCAGCCAAGCGTATGATGTCCTAGATGACGATCAACAGATGCTCATCGATATCGAACAGAATATAGCGAATTTAGAACGGACTTTAGTATCAACAGGTAAACACCCTGTTGAAGAGGAGTCACAAACATCCGCCGTGGTTAAAACTTTAAAGAGAAGCATTGTTGGAAGCGCTGAAAGATCTGAAAGAAAGAGAACATCCGCACTTCGAAGCGTTCGAAACTTAATAAGATTGGGAAAACAACGCCCAAGCGCGAGAGAATCGGATACGGATGGCGAAGGAGTTTCATTAATTCAAGATTCTGCCGGAAGAACATCAGCTCATCAATCCGAATCCGAATCTGCCACGATGTCTCGCGCTGGTAGCGAAACATCGATAAATTCAACAAATGAGGACCAAATGGTGTCGTTAACCACCGAAAAAGGAAAAAAAACTCCAAGGTTAATTTTAATATTTATTTATTCGCGATAGTAATCTCAAAATTGAGATTACATATATTAGTCATAAATATTACACGAAAGCTTGCGAATAAGTGCGACCTTGAGGTATAAAAACGTTCCTTTTTTCCTAGAATAAAAACGGACCTTAAATCAAGAGTTCAATCTGCACTTAAAGCCCAGGATTTTCAAGTTTGTATCACCATTATCGAAGCTCGACAATTAGCCGGGTTAAATATGGACCCGGTGGTTTGTATTCAAATAGGGGACCAAAGAAAGTACACAAGCGTTAAAGAAAGCACCAATTGTCCTTATTACAACGAGGTATGATATTGGTATAAAATGAATTATTATGGATTATATCCGATTGTAACATACGTGCTCGATTGTTATACGATCGTTTTAATCCGAAAAAACAACAAGGGTGAATTGTTTCATCACTAAAATTGATTAAATTGGTTTTTGTGTGTTTGTATTTTCAGTATTTCGTTTTCGACTTCCACATGCCACCAATTATGCTGTTCGATAAAATTATAACCTTATCGGTAAGTATTAATTTGTTTTTTTCACGCTTTAAATCAACAATAAATCTCTGGAATATGTAACTATCAAGATATGTGGTATGTGCGGTTTAATATAGAAATTGCCGCGGAAGTTGCAATTAACGATCTCTGAACTCCCCGAATGCTAGAAACTTACTGATATTAATCCCAATGTCATTTCGAATAACTTTGTGTGTTTATTTGAACAAATTGCCTTACAGAATAATTTAAAATTAGATTACTAATATTAAATCTTTGTTATATCAACCCTTTATGTTTTTAATACTTAAAATTAACCATTAATTAGCCAGATATATACAGTACGTATCATAAATATACAGGGTGAGTTTTTTTACGTGTTTAGTATGGAGATCTCAAAAACTAGCGGAAAACCATAGCTGGCCATGACTTTATACGTTGACTTTTCTCAACGATTGAATGATATACAGGGTGTCCCGCAACGATTGTACAATACTGCATCAGCGTATTCTCTGATCGAAAACAGACAAGAAAAGTCTAATAAACATAGGTCCGAAAATGGACCAATTTCGAGATATTCAAAGTTTTAGTTTCATAAGCTGACCTATTGTAAACATCATTAATTCTAACGATTTAGATGCAGTAATTATATGATTACCATGGTTACGATGGTTAAGATAAAGTTTAATAAATAATAAGATAATATTAAGTTAATTAATACAGTTCATTAATAATTTAACAAAACAAGTAACAAAGATTGTCGAAGAAAATCGTTCAACCAGCATAAAAACAACGAATATTTAACAAATTGGAAAAGATTCATGTCATAATAAATGTTCAATATGCGCACCATTTACTTCTAAACACAAACGGATACGTTTTCTAAATGAACTTCTAATGCGTTCAAAGATACCAGGAATTTGTTTTACTGTGTCAAATGCGTTACTAATTTTATTCTTCAAATCCTGCACATTTTGAACGTCTTCAGAATAAACAATTTGTTTTAAATGTCCCCAAAACCAAAAATCTAACGGATTTAAATCTGGTGAACGAGGTGGCCCTCCTCGGCCAATCCACTTATTGCCAAATCTGTTATTTAAGTATGCTCGAGTAGCGCGTGCATAATCGTGCATAAAGTAGCAATCTTCTAGAATTTGTTGAGGTAATTCATCAAATGCCTCTGTAAGGTCATTTTGTAAAAAATGTATGTAGGCATCGGCTGTCAATCTCTTTGGAAGAAAAAATGGACCTAATAACTGATCACCTATAACTCCAGCCCATACATTAACACTGAATCGCCACTGATGATGAGTTTCTAGTATTGCATGGGGATTTTCATCGCTCCAAACGTGCGCATTATGAATATTAAAAATTCCGCTTTGAGTAAATGTTGCTTCATCCGTAAATACAATGTTTATGGGAAAGTCGACGTTTACTACCTCTTCCTGTATGGCCCACCTACAAAAAATCTCTCTTTTTTCGCCATCATTTTCTGTTAGAGCTTGAACGGTGTTGTAATGATAAGGATAAAGCAACTGCTCCCTTAAAATGCGGTGAACGGTTGTTTTGTTAATGTTTTCTTGTGCAGAAATTCTTCTAATGCTGGTTGAGGCATTTTCATTGGTTTTTCTCAAAACTGCTTCTTCTAATTCCACCGGCCTTGTGTAATGTCTCTCCGTGGAATGGCTGTGGGTTACGCTTCCAGTTTGTTTTAATCTGAGAAATAGTCTGCTAAAGGTGTGACTATTAGGCAATCGTCTGTTCGGGAACCTTTGCGCGTAATGACGAGCTGCTAACGACGCATTTCCATCAGCTAGTCCGTAACAATACACCATATCCGCCATCTCTTCCTTGGAGTAATTAATAGGAGCCATACTTAATAGTTTTATTAAATTAAATAGTAAAATAATAATTTCGTGAAGTATTATTATTTTTTTTTTGATTAGACAACTTATCGTGATTAGTAACGACTTAATTATTATAAAAACAAATTTAAATTCATGATGTTAACAATATCAACTTATGAAACTAAATCTTTGAATATCTCGAAAATGGTCCATTTTCGGACCTATGTTTATTAGGCTTTTTTTGTTTATTTTTGATCATAGAATACGCTGATGCAGTTTTGTACAATCGTTGCGGGACAGCCTGTATATCTTGAACAAATGACACCGCACCAAACATTAAATCCAAATTTAACTTGAGGTCTCCTCTCTTGAACATGATGCGGATTTTCCTGCATCCATAAATGTTGATTATGTCTATTAAACATGCCGCAGTTTGTAAATCGTGTTTCATCTGTCTACAAAACTTTAAATCTAAACTGCGGATCAGCTTCACACATGTTAATAAACCACGTACAATATTCTATAAGCTTATTGTAGTCAGCTGGGGATAGTGTTTGTGAAACTGCCATTTTATATGAATAAAATCTATGCTTTTTTAGTTCTCTTACGACAGTACGTTGTGACGTGCTTGTTTCAGATGCAACTTGTGTTGAAACCGATGCATCTTGATGGATTCGTGCTAATACATTTACTTCTGTCTTTCATCCTTAGTTGGTTTACAGAAAGAACCATACTCGCCCAAATTATCATCGAGCCTCTTAAAAGTAGGTACAGAAGGCTGGCGACGATCAAAATATTGTTCAAAATACTGTTCTGCAGCTTGTATTGCATTTTTATAGCATAAAATGTAACACTCAATGATATCACGCTTTTCTTGATTAGAAAAATTCATATTGATAATAATTTACAAAATCTCAATCAACGTTAATTAGAAACTAAACGAAATATACGTTTGCCTTAAGCTGTCATAACCAAACGTATCTATCAATTGTTTCCATAGCATACTACCTGAACAGTTTGCCAATTAAAAGAATAAATGGCTGTAATTTATTTATTAATAAAAATATCTATGTCAAGTGGTATATCATTTAGAATCGTTGAGAAAAGACCTTTTTTTAAAGTCATGGCCAACTATGGTTTCCATTAGAAAAATTACAGGTTTGTGTCATAACTCAAAAATTATTGCTTAAATAAAAAAATTAGTTAGACTATATGTGTAGAAAAAACAATATTTTCTTTAAAAGATGATATTTTATTTTTTATATTATCGGTGCTACAAATTTGTTTCGGTTAATTAAACCGTCATCAGGCACCACTGTAATATTGAAACTTAAATTAATTTTAAAAATTATCTTATATTACTACTTGGTCTTACCGTCTAATTGTCAATAATAAGTTTTTTGATGATGTAGTTGGAAAAGACATGTTAACATATGTCACTAATTATGCGTTNCCTAGTGTAAATCTGACTTTCGCGTTTACTCCTCCTGGTTTAAAAACAGAGTATAGTAGCGCATGAATGTTTTACACTCGATGTTATTTTTGTCAAAATAAATAAATAAGTAGATGTTTATTACAAAATAAAGTTTAATTGTTTTTTTTTGTGTCTAGCGCTACTTGATATTTGGACAAAAATAACATCGAGTGTAAAACATTCATGCGCTACTAGATTAAAATGTGTGCTTTTTGATGGGGAAAGAAATGAATTTTTAAGAAAAACAAAATACTATCGTATAAAGAATGTTTTTATGGCCTCAATAATAAAAAAAAATGTTGGCATTCCATTTAAAAAAAAAAGTTGACAGTCGCCATTTTGAAATAATTCTTCCAATTGAAAATGTGGCATCAACATCGTATAGAGAATGACCCAAAAAATATTACTGCCAAATATTTTGAAAGTAGTACCCATAGTGTGGCTAAAAAAAATAAAGAATGTAACGAAAAAACTTCTAAACTTGCTTTATTTAATTTAATATGCAGTCAGACCGGTTTCGGGGCTAGCCGCATCATCAGTGACAATGTCAGTGGCAAACTAAAATTGTAGAACGAAGATCATCAAAAGAACAGGGAGAGCACGTAAAAGCTTGTATAAGGCTGAAGGCTTTATAAAGCGGTGATAAAAATGTATAACAAAATGGCGAAAGTAAAAAAAGGCGGGTTTAGCCGTCTTAAGAGACGTACGGGTAAACCTGAATGTTTCCAGTTCTAGGTCTAGTTTTAGTTCAATGAAAACTATTCAACTATCTCACATATTCATCATCTTAGTTTTAGAAGTAAAACTAGCACTAACACTAGCATTAGAACTAACACTAGACCTAGAACTAGAAACATTCGGGTTTAGCTGTATGTCTCTTAAGACAGCTAAACCTGAAAGTTGTTAGTTCTTGGTCTAGTGTTAATTCCACTTTTAATTTAATAAATATACAGGGTGAGTTATTAGCAGTCCGGCGGACGATAGTTGCTAAACCGTTTGAGAAAGAAAAAATGTTTTATACAAAAGTTGTTTGACTCACCATTTTCTATTAGGTAGAAATATTTTTACTTATATAGGGTGTTCCATTTACGCGTAACGGAGAGCATGTAGATTTTGTTAAATGGAACACCCTATATATTTTATCATATTATGAATAGCATTAAATTTGTTTATCTACGACTGCTTGGATAAGTCATCATTACCGCACTCATTTGAGGTGATTTGAGTTACGTAATGAAGTTCATTACCGCACTGGTTTCATTACGTAACGCATTTTTAGCCTATTCAGAACAGACTTAATTTATTGAAACGAGCAACAATACAAAAGAAAAAGTGCTATCTACTTACAGAGAAACAATACTGTTTATTATAAACATTAATTGTTATGTTTTTACATTTCTAAACACTTATTCCAAACATGTTGTTAAAACTGACAATTCAAAATTGTCAACAATCATTTCAATATATTTTTATAAATGTCAAATAGACTTTTTTAAAGAAATTGATTTTTTAAGAATTTTAAGCAGTCGTAGATAAAATACTGTATATCACACGTGAGCTACAGCATAATTACAGTACTCGTGTGATTACATTCTCCACACTCGTACAGTAATTATGTTTCTAGCCCACTTGTAATATAAATAACTATTATCTACAACTATTGAATTATCTATTCGTTATACACTTGATTTTTGACGGGTAAT